CATTTGGAAGTGCTGGATACGCGCCCAAACGTTTAGATGTGTCCAAATTAAATGAAACTTTAAACATGATACAATTTTGCTCATAAATTCCTCTAACAAATACCCAAGGCCACATTCGGAGGCATCGATAGACTGCGTAAAACACAGACCCGATCGCTGTAAAGACCTTTTGATCAGACTTTTCAAGCCAGAGGAAAATGCACAGCAATACATCAGCACTGACATTTGTAGTACGACCAGGGCCTCGTACAGACCCAAATACAATGACAAATACCCAAGGCCACATTCGGAGGCATCGATAGACTGCGTAAAACACAGACCCGATCGCTGTAAAGACCTTTTGATCAGACTTTTCAAGCCAGAGGAAAATGCACAGCAATACATCAGCACTGACATTTGTAGTACGACCAGGGCCTCGTACAGACCCAAATACAATGCAAGTGGGCATATTTAAAACACCCCCAAAGCCCAAAGCCACAGGGACATACATCTTACCACTTTTGCTCCGAGGTAGTAACATTGTAGATCTTTTTTTTTTTTTTTTTTTTTTTTTAAGAGGGGGCGCACGCAGAACACTGTGTTCCTGGGCTTTTATTTCCGAGTCACTCAAGAGCCCAAGTGCTCTGTAATTCCACTTTTAGGAACCTCTTAATGGCGCTTTTGCTTGAAGAAAATGGAGTACCATATTCATGAACAGTTTAAACCTTGGAGGGCAATGCACTACAAGATTTTGTGCTTTTTTTTTTTTAAAAAATGAGATTATAACTGAGTGAAGAGCAACATCTGCTACGGGTCACTTGGCTCAGCGTGGCTACAATTTTGGTTTGAATACGCGGTGGGTTGCCAACATGTAAGCGCTCCCCAGATTTTCGCTGCTGCCGTCGGCTCGGAGACGAATGCGTCTGAGCTTGAGCGGATTTGTTTTTTTTTTTCTTTTCTTCTTAATAATACATCTGGCGTTGTTTTCGTGGTGGAACTAGGATGTGGTCACAGCTCAACTTGACAGGTCGATCCCTTCTAAGATCAAAACCTGAATCCATTCGGCATTTTCCCACGGAAGTTAAGATGTTCTGTTTTAACAGTGCTGAATGTCGCGAAAATGGCGTCACCTTGTTGATTCCACGACTTGAATCTCCGGGGAAAGCATTGCCCGGTGATTGGCTGCGTCCGGCCAGACAGTTGCTGTGTTGCTAAGGCGTCTCGCGGAATTTCCCACTCACGCTTGAGCAGCACGGGCTCCCCGGATCACCTTTTGTTTGTCTATCTCGGTTACTTTAACCACTGCTAACCAGCATATCTTCCCACACATTAACACTGGCAGTGTTAACACTGCTGGTGTTAAAGGCAGTGTCACCAGTAGTGGCCTATCAGTGAACGACTCGACCCCCATGGAGGTCGAACACGAAATGTTCCGTCTCAAGCTCCTGGCGGGCCAGGAACGAATGAATAATTGAATACCGGACCCCGTTCGCATTCTCTGGTTTTAATGCATGCCCGTCGTATTGCTGAGCACATGTTGGAACAAAGGAGGACATCCCTCAGCATATGTTGTCTAAATAATTAAGCTGGCACGTTCAAAGGCAGATGCCGAGTTGTGGAATGACACCTATAGATCCTCACGCACGCTGTTGATTCGCATTTAATGGCGAAATAGATCCCATCCTTTTCGATGCATTGAAGTATGCATTGGCATTGGTCATAAAAAAAAATAAAAAATAAAATAAAAACTTCTGACACCTTTAAGCACTCTCCCCGAATACTAATTGTGATACTTAACATTCTTGGCTCATTTATATTTTTTTCTTAAGAGTGGCCAGGATTTTTTTTTTCCGAACAGCATTATTTGATAAATTACAAAGAACAAACGACTCCAAGAACGACTCTGAGGCATTCCTTTTTTTCGCTTTTGTTTTTCGGGTATCATTCCGACTTGACATTTTACTGCTTCGGTTTTGCAATTTTTGTAAACCTATCGGTCCCTTGCCCATGGCTTGATAATTGACATTGGAGCCGTCTTGAAAAATTGGCCATCGTTTAGGAGCTTTATGGCCGCCACCCTGTTCCAACGTGTTGTACGATAATTTTCAGTTCAAGACGTTGAGCAACCCGGAGTCGGTACAGGTACGCTTTATGACTCTCCGAAGTGTCGTTTGAATTGAGCTTTTGTTGATGCTTCGTCCCAGTGCAGCCTTTCCATTGACATTCCCCCGGCTTTGGGTGAATGCCTGCTCTCGGAATTCTTTGTTTTTTCATCAGTGATGTTAGTAGAAGGCAGCAGATATTGTTTCGCGGAACTTGCCATTCAAAGCGTAAATTGTACCGTTGCGGAGCCGTCTGACGGCTATAAAGCGTCTCAGAGTGCAGTTGGGAACACAACAACTTCTTGCTGGGCAGCGATTTCGCAACCCTGCTCCCATGTCAACAGGTTAAAAAAAAAAACTGATGAAAATGATTTGGGTCTGTCTGACAAATACCTGAAACGAAAATGCAAAGTGTATCGTGATTTTTGGGGGCATCCTGTATTATGGCACAGTTACACCATGACGCAACAATAGCGCTACGTTCCGTACCGTATTTTCCACCCTGAAAGGCGCACCGGATTATGAGGCGCACCTTCAATGAATGGCCTATTTTGTAATTTTTTTCCAATATTGGGCGCACCGCATTATAAGACTACAATGCATCCACTAGATGGAGCTACCGTCAAGGAAACGCCAACAGAACGATCAGATGTCAGTAAAACGGATTTAAGAAAACAGCGACACAGTTCACTGAACCAACAGCAAGTTATAACATTGACTCGTTAACGTTGAACTCTCTTGCCGCTGCT